AAAAGAGAGGAGGATGTTCCAGGCCTAGCTCCTGGTACTCAGCTCCTGAATCCTATCTCTCAGCAAACCTGCAAGTCCGCATTTGCATCTCTGTGTGGCCAGGCTCTGCATGGTTAAGGGGTTGACTCCAGCTGAGTTGGCCATTTAGATGGAGACCATCCTTCTGAATGATGGGTGTGTCTGGCTTAAGGGTGGGGTGCGAGGGAGTATCTCCCCTCTGTCTCCTCTCCAAAAGCACATCCCTGTCCCTTCCTGGTACTCAGCCCATTCTCTGGCTTTCATGTTGCCTTTCAACAGCCCAGCCCTAGCCCCAGCCTGGCACTCTCCATGGTTGGGGGAGAGTCTGTGGCTAAAAGGTTAACATGTCCAACTTGCTCTTCTGGCTGCCTCTTGGCCAAGCTTCTGTCCTTGTCAAAGTTCACCTGCCTCCTGGACACACATGGCCTTTGAGGCCCCATTCCCACGTTTAAGGAACTAGATTCCATCTCAACCTTCCAGAGCCCCTATCTGCTTACAAACTGCCTGTGTCTGGGGTGGGCACAGTGCCTCTTCTATTGGACTGCATTGATTTTCCTCCACAATAGTTGGTCATCACTGTTCTGGGTAATGTATTTTAATGAATTGTTATTCTGCTGGACGTCGACTCAGAGGACTTTTTATCATGAAGGGTCCCATCCTGAAAACCTTCATAAATCAGACACAGTTCAAAACAGGCCTGCTGTTGGATAGGGTGGGGGTCTCTCCCCAATGAGTCATGTCAAAGGAAACTTCTTTCTTGTGTTAACCAGGCTGGCACATTTAATTCTTTGTGGTTGGGCCCTCTGTCCTGACATCCAAATAAGTGAAACCTCCCCATTGACATTAGTAAGAGAAGCAGGATCTTTAACCTCAGAGCTGGGTCAGGGTGTTACCCATTGTGTGTGTGCCAGGACCCCAGAGAACTAGTTAACATGCTGATTCCTGGCCCCACCCCAGACCTACGAGTGAAAATATTTAGAGGTAACGCCCCAGGATCTACATTTTCTAACAATCCCTAGAGGAGAGTCTTATGAACATTAAAATTAGAAAACACCTGCCCCAAATCTGTATCATCTTAGCATCCCATGTTTATTTCTTACATGTTGTGTGTGTTTGTTTTTGGTGGTAGAACTATGGAATATTTTAATTTTATTTTTTAAGATTTCTGTCTTCTAAATTTTCTGTAATAAACTAGTATGATGTAAGTAATAAGAAAAAGCATACATTTTAATAAACAAAAATAAATACAGTAAGGGCATACAAATTTTAAATGAAAAAAGAGCTTAGTATGGGCCGGACGCGGTTTTCCTGCATTCTGGCTTGGACTGTGCTGCTAGCCCCACATGCACCTCCTCAGTTTACTGGAGGGAGCTTGGGGAGTAGGTCCACATCCAAGTCAGCTGGGGATTTTCCTCAGAGCTTTCCAAAAGCATGACTCGCACCTCTGGATGATGGCCGCTGTGGACTAAGGGCTCCTTGGTGCAGTCAAACTCAGCATTGAGGGTGGAGTCCCAGGCTTGGGGTAGCTGCTGAAACAGGAGACATATCCAGAGAAAACAAGTGGGGCCAGTTGTGCACTTCTCAGCTTCCCTGGAGAAGAGGGCAGGGAGATGGCCCATGAGACAGCATGCCCAAGAGGCTTGGGGCACGGGAACTCGCCACCCTGGCCCATCTGTAACCTATATTTTCCCTCAGTTTATTCCTCTGTTCCACTGTCATCCATGCCAGTACCCATGGCCCCAACCAGGCGGGTTCCTCCCTCTATGCCCCTGACCCTCTTCTACTGGGTATCCAACTCCTCATCTGAGATGGTTTTTACCTGAACTAGCCATCCCCTGGAGGCTGCTGGGACTTTGAGGTGGATCTGGTGGCCTTCAGCTGTAGAGGCCTCACCCCCCTGAGGCCCCTGCTCTTCCTTCTCCATTCTTTCTCACTTCTTCTCTTTGCTCTGCCCGACCCTCTCTTTTGCCCTTCTTGCCTTAATAGATTGAAACTGACCTTGTGTTCCGGCTTCTTGTGGTCCTGGCAAACAGCTCTTAATGTGGCTGTGGTGGATGGGGAGAAGGTGTGGGGGGCAGGGGGCACTTACCTTCTTCTCTGATGGGAGGAGCAGGGGTAGGTGCCCCACAGGTCTGGCCAGTACGCTGGGCTTACACAACAAAGCCCTCACAAAGGCTGGACAGACCTGGGACTGGCCTGTCCTTAGCTTTTCCCCTTGGTATGCAAAGGCTACAGAACAGCCTGGAGCATTGGGCCAGCACTGGGCCATCAGGAGCAGCTGGGCCCTACTCTGAGGACAGAAATAGACCTTTCCACCTGTATTAAGCAAACAGGATTTAATTACACAATTTACACTTCTTCGATTTTCTTACTAAGCCTTAGTGGCCTGGCAGTTATCATTCCTGATGTTGTTGCTATAAACAGTAGCCTGTGTGGGGGTAAATTACATGGCAGAATCAGTTTAATATTGACATTTTCAAAATCAATGAACAGTGGGGCCTGGCCAGCAGGGCCAGGATATTAGGTGATGGGAATCGGTGTGAATTCTCCTTCCGGCCTCAGGGATGTTTCTTAGCTCTCCTGCCAATTCTTCTTCTTTTATGCACCCAAGCAAAGTGCTGGATTGGGTCTGCTTTCATCCCGAAGGAGAGAGTCCTCTCAGATTTGCACCCAGTGCTTCTCGTTGCCTTCTACGTAAGTGTAAGTGGGGAGGCACAAGACACCCCACCCTTTGCTTTGTTTCTTTCCCCACTTCCCAGACCATGTGAGCATGGACTTGGGGGATTAGGGGTCCAGGGCATGGAGGAGATCCCTGGCCCAGGAGTAACACTGTGGCATCTCATGGTGTAGGCTGCCGAGAGGGGCCAGGGCCCAGGAATGGGCGTGCTTCTATAGGGCCAGCTGCTTTCCAGGCCATTGAGAAGGAGAGACAGCCCTTCAGACTCCCAGTAACTGGTATGAGGGGCCCATCCTCACAGGCCACCCCCAGAAATCTGAGTGGATGCCAGGCTGTACTTTTCTCCTCTGGAAATAGCCAGCTGGGATCTCTTCCTTTTTGTGTAGCAAGGCACCCAGTTCTTTGGAGAGACATGTGTGAGGGTCAGGCTCTTTCATCTGACAGTGTCGACCCCTCTGGGGGAGTCAGCCATGCCTGTAGCGGTCTCTTAGCAGCCTTTAAGTGGTTCTAGTGGTTCTCCACGCGCTGTTGGAGATTCAGACCTATCTCGCCCAAACCCCTTTCCCTTTCAGACCAGCCACATCCCTGTGTGCCCTGGGCTGTGGCAACACTCTGGCCTCTGTCACTTGGGTTCTGAAGCCCCAGGGAAAACTGGGGGCAGAGAGATGGCTCTGAAGAGTTAAGTGAATGGGCAGAGCATCCAGCCCTGGGGGTGTGTGTGGACGATGTGCCCTGTTGGACATCTCTGTGCTCTCCCTCACTTGGTGACATCATTTGGTTGGCCTGTGGTTTGTGTGTGTGTGTGTGTGTGTGTGCGCGCCCATCAGGATGTTCCTGTTTTGTGGTTGTCTGATCACTTGTTTTTGGCCGTGGGTTTCTGTATGAGTGTTTATTTTTAGAGGCTGCCACTTCTGGCCCGAGGGCTGATCCTTGGCCTTGGTAGGAGCCTGTGTTTTCTGAAATGTTTGTGGCTTTAAATTTAAGTATTTATTTTGGAGTATTGCTGCCTTTCATGTGTTCAATCTATAGTGCGTGTATGTATGTGTGTGAGGTATGAGAGCCAGTGTAGAATAATAAAAATTGTGTGCTCTTTGAAGTTCTGATTTAGTAATTCTGACTTTAAATTAATTTTTATTTACTTTAGTTTTATTTTAATTGTCTTAAATTAGTTCTGATTTTAAACCCCAGCTTTACCAGGTACGATGTGTCTGCAAATAAATGGTTTCACCTCTCAGAACCTCAGTTTTCCCATCTTTAAAACAGGTAGAACACTCCCTGACACAGAATTAGAAACAATGTACGTGTTAAGTATGTAACAGACTGTTTGGCGCATAACAGCTGTTGATTGCATGTTAGCTATTATTATTTGTGCTTGCATATATGTGTTTTCTGACCAGGAGCACCTATGTTGTGTACCCCAATAGGGCACCAGGGTGTTTGATGTGGGTGAATTCGGGATGTTTGATTTGGGTGATTACTAGTTGGCATGTGGGTCTCTGGACATCTTTGTGTCAGATTTTCTCTGTGTGTGTGTGTGTGTGTGTGTGTGTGTGTGTGTGTGTGAGTGTGAGTGTGAGTGTGAGAGACAGAGAGAGAGAATGAAAGAGATAGACAGAGAGAGAGAGTGTGTGTGTGTGTGTTTGTGTGTGTCTTGGGCTGGGACTTGGGCTGCTGATTGTACAGGGTGTGAAATCACTGAGTTCCTCTGGGCGGGGAAGTTCTTCTATCCTGAGTCAACCCTTTGGCCTTGAGCCACCCAGTGCTCACATTTTCCTTTCAGAGAAAGTATTGCTCATGGGTCCCCCAGAGCTGTCTGTAGACAAAATGACACAGGGGACACCTCTCCCTGGTGAAAATCTCTGATTTTTGTTCTCGATCCCTAAGCTGCTTCCCTGCCCCCTAGCCCTAGCCCCCAGCCCCTCTCTAGAACCTTCATGGGCCCAGCATTCAGAGCGAAAGTGTGTCCCCTTTGACACGGGGCCTGCTGGCTTTGGTCCAGAACTTCCAGGTCCTTGGGAAGCTAGCAGGATGCCAGAGGCAGGTTTTGGACTGGGCATCTTGACCCCCAGGACCCCCTGCCCAATCTTAGGCTTTGCTGTCTGGCCCTGAAGCAGGGTGTTGGGATGGGTTCTGCCTAAAAGCCTGGGGTAGGAGTCTTTTTGTCCTTTCCCCTTTCTGTCACCTTAGCTCTATCTCAGGGTGCTGAGAGGAGGTTTTGGGATCCAGGGAATGGAAGCCCTTAGTGCTTTCCTTGGGAGAATAGAAGGTGTCCCTGCTTCCCACTGATGTGTTCTTTCTCTTGCAGAGGTTGTGGGACACACACAGGGGCCGCTGGATGGGAGCCTGTATGCCAAGGTGAAGAAGAAGGACTCTTTGAATGGCAGCACTGGGGCCGTCAACGCCACACGTCCTGCCCTGTCGGCCACTCCCAACCACGTGGAACACACCCTGTCCGTGAGCAGTGACTCGGGCAACTCTACAGCCTCCACCAAGACAGACAAGACTGATGAGCCTGCCCCCGGCTCCTCCAGTGCCCCTGTTGCCCTGAGTCCCGAGGAGAAGCGCGAGCTAGACCGTCTGCTCAGTGGCATCGGCTTAGAGCGAGAGAAGCCAAGCACCATGTACCACACCCAGCATCTCCGGTCCCGCCTGGCAGGGGGCCCTGCTGTCCCCTCCTCCGCCCGCCACGTTGTCCCAGCCCAGGTTCACGTCAACGGCGGGGCCTTGGCATCTGAGCGGGAGACAGACATTCTGGACGATGAGCTGCCCAATCAGGATGGGCACAGCGTGGGCAGCATGGGAACCCTGTCCTCCCTGGATGGGATCACCAACACCAGTGAGGGGGGCTACCCAGAGGCCCTGTCCCCATTGACCAATGGCCTGGACAAGCCCTACCCCGTGGAACCTATGGTCAATGGCGGGGGCTACCCCTACGAGTCTGCCAGCCGAGCAGTGCCTGCGCATGCTGGCCACTCGGCCCCCATGCGGCCCTCCTACTCCACACAGGAGGGTTTAGCTGGCTACCAGCGGGAGGGCCCCCACCCAGCCTGGCAGCAGCAAGTGACCACCTCCCACTATGGCCACGACCCCAGCAGCATGTTCCGCTCTCAGTCTTTTCCGGAAACTGAGCCCCAGCTGCCCCCCGCTCCAGCCCGGGGTGGAAGCAGTCGGGAGGCTGTGCAGAGGGGCCTCAATTCCTGGCAGCAGCAGCAGCAGCAGCCTCGCCCGCCTCCTCGCCAGCAGGAAAGAGCCCTCTTGGAGAGTGTTGGGCCCTGCAGGCCCGGCCCCCAGCCATTGGCAGAGACCCCCATGCCTGGCCTCCCTGAGTTCCCCAGGGCAGCCTCCCAGCAGGAGATTGAGCAGTCCATTGAAGCCCTTAACATGCTGATGCTGGATCTGGAGCCGGCTGCAGCTGCTGCCCCCCTGCACAAGTCCCAAAGTGTCCCTGGGGCCTGGCCAGGGGCCTCCCCACTCTCCTCCCAGCCTCTTTCTGGCTCCTCCTACCAGTCCGGTCCACTGACCCAGTCCAGATCTGGCTACATCCCCCGTGGGCATTCCTTGGGAACCCCTGAGCCGGCCCCACGAGCTGCCCTGGAGTCTGTCCCTCCTGGCAGGTCTTACTCACCTTATGATTATCAGCTGTGTCCAGCTGGGCCCAACCAGAGTTACCGTTCAAAGAGCCCAGCTTCCTCCTCTTCCTTGCCCACTTTCCTTCCATCCAACCACAGCCCTCCAGGGCCTCAGCAGCCCCCGGCCTCTCTCCCTGGCCTCACCACTCAGCCTCAGCTTCCACCAAAGGAGGTGACTTCAGATCCATCCCGAACTCCAGAGGAGGAGCCCTTGAACCTGGAGGGGCTGGTGGCCCACCGGGTAGCAGGTAAGAACCTCAGGGACTATCAGTGCTGGGCATCCCCTCCTTATTCCCTCCACATCTTCCCTCTTTGGTCTTGGTTGGTCTTGCTGGGGGGAGGTGCAGGCAGAGCCATCACAGCTCAGCAGACACTGCTTTGGCCTGGAGAAGAGGCTGGCAGGAGCCCACATACTAGCCATCCCTTCCTGCATTCATTATCTGTTAGGCTCCAAGGCAGGCACTGAGATAGAAAGATCAATGTCTTTCAGTTCCAGTCCTCAAGAAGCTTACAGTCTAGTAAGGGGACAGGTAATTCTAACAGAGTGCAATGTGTGCTACAACGGAGGTGGGACCAAAGCCCTAGAGCTTGGGGAAAGCAAAGCTTACCCTTAGGACAATCAGGGAGAGCTTCCTGGAGGTGGTGACTTTGGGCTTGGAGTACATATCTTCTAAGTAGAGAGGAAATGGTCTCTGCAACTGCCTGTAGTGCTCTTTGTACTCAGACTTCAGTTTCTTAGGGAAGGCATAGAGTAGGCTAGAGGGAGGTCTCTATAGACTCAAATTCCCTCTTGGGCCTTCTCAGAGGCATAACAAAGCCTGAGAGGTTATACTGAAGCTCTGGGCTCAGAGTCTTCAATCCTGGTGGGTCCTTCCAGGATATTTCTCTGTTTTGGGGGAGGCCAAGGTCCCTCTTCTGTCCAGTTGTCTATTAGTCCTCACTTTAGGACCAGCTTTGTATGGGAAACAGGTGCTGAGAAACAAAGCTCCATTTCCTGTCAGAACATGAATGGGCTTATCTTTTTATAGAGAGGAGAGATAGTGGATCAGTCCGAAGAGCTTATTGGGGAGGCAAAGGCAAGAAATGGAAGACTGTCCAGGGCCATATTGGGAGGGACAGGAAGGGTTCCCTTCGTTTCCATTGACCTAAGCCTATGACCATTACATGGGGGCAGCCAAACTGGGAGGGAGATCCTATGGGTTGATTTTGTTATGGAGGTAAGGCCCAGGCAGGGGTGAAGCAGAGACTGGGGCTGGGGACGGGGCTTGTGCCCAGTTCCTCAGCTGACAGGGTGGTGAAAGCTCAGGGAGGAGAAGGGGAGTCTGGGCAGCTGACTTTACCCTGAGTCCCTTTTTCCTAAATTTAGGGGAAGCTGAGTCACCATGCCAGCTGCAAGGAGGGAGGGAGACACCCTCACTGGGGATGGATGGTGGGTTTAGGGAAGTAGGCTAGCTGGCTGTTGGGCCGGGCCCAGGACCTGGGTGTGGGGACATGCACACCCTACTCCTATACTTCAGAGCAGAGCACAGTGCCCAGCTCTACTATCTGTAACTTGAAATTGGCCATAATGAAAATATTTACACCATTGAAATTGGCAATCAGGCCTTCACATCCCCTGGAGAGCTAGTTTAGCAGCACATTATTGCTTTTACAGGATAAGTAGTTCTGTAACCCTAGGAGTGAAAGAAAGGCTCCATGGGGGTGGTCCAGTTGGGGTTAATGTCTTCTGCTTTCTCCCATGTCTGGGCCCCTGGGATAAGGACTCCCAGCTTCTTTGTCAGCAGAGACACTTTTCCTCCTGGTTTTGTTGACGGGAGGGGAATGGAGCCCCCTCAGTATTTTACAGAGTTGGGGTAGTGGCCTGAGGAATAGTGACACTCTAGCCTAATGTGGGGCAGGATCCAGGGGGCTATTCTCTGGGGGAGCAGGATGAATTTCCTCCCCTACCAAAACCTTTCAATATAGCTCTCCTGGAGCTTGCTTAAGAGGAAGACATACCTGAATGGTTCAGGAAGGATGCTTATCTTATAATGCATCTCTTGCCAGCCTTTTCTCTCCTACTAGCTTATGAAGTCTTGACTATCAACCTCTATATCCCATAGCTGCTTAATCTTTGGCTGCCAAGAAGTCACAGGAAAGGGGCGACATTATTGGCACATCTCTGCTCCCATCTCCACCAACTGTGAGTGACTCAGGAGAAAGGATGAGATGAATAGAGGGGCAGTTATATTTTGTTCCCAGGGCTGTAAAGGGGCCTCGTTGGGCCATGCCCTGTTGTGAACAGTATTTCTTGTGTCAGCAGATCCTTCTTGCACAGCTTCTTTAGTAGCTCTTCAGGATGTCTGCCATGCATGTGTAGATAAAGGCACATAGGATCAATGTGCAGCATAGTCTAGGAGCCAGGGAGGATAAACTTCCAGTACCACCTCTTCCTGCTCATTCTACTTCTGCAAGAAGCTGGAAGATAAGCTTTAATATGAGTAACCTAGAAGCTCAGATCTGAGGGAGAATGTCTTCATGGCCATCAAGTTGATCTGGTTTCTCCTGGCTTTTCTCCCTCAGGTCTTCATTTTCCTACTTGGCTGTCCTCCATGCTCAGTATTATGTCCCTGGTTCATTCCACTTTGATCCAACAACTCCTTATGCTTTATTTCAGTGTAGATCTCAGAGAATATAGAAGTAGTTTTCTTAATTTAATAAAGGGTGGGTACCAGAAACCTGTAGCACATATTACACTTTTTTGTGAAGCATTGAAAACATTACTATTATAACCAGGGACAAAGTAAGAATGCCAATTATCAGCACTATCATTTAACATCGTATTGGATGTCCTAGCCAGTGCAATAAGACAAGAAAAAGAAATAAGAGTCAGAGTTGGAGAGTCCAATCAAGTTATCTCATGATCCCGATTCTGTGACTGGACTGATCTCAAATGTCCCTAGAGGTAAAGATTTCAATGCATGTTGGAAGCAAGATGTGGATCTTATCTTTAAGGAGCCTAAAGTTTAGTAAGAGGAAAAAAGAACTGGAATTTTAAAATGAAGTCATTAATAATAATGGAAGTATGGAGAAAGTTCTGTGGGAGTGAGGGAAAAGATCACTATCCGCTAGAGAGACTAGGGAGGCTCTGTGTTGAGTGTGGGTTTTAAACAGAGCCTTGGACAATGGGTAAGATTTTGAAAGTGGATGAGGTAATTGGAAAGAGAGGGTTCATAGCGAAGACAGGAAAGCATAGGAAATGTTTGAAGAATAAAGTAGATTGAGAACATATAGGCTGTGTGAGAGAAAGCCAAGAAAGGTAGCCTGGGCCCTGCTCTGGTTGATCTTAAATACCAGACTAAGGAACTTGAATCTTACCTAGTAGCAATGTAAGAAGCTGTATTTTAGTCAGGAGAATATGCCATGATCAGAGCTGTAGTTTAGGAAGGTGTACTTGATGGGTCTGGGCAGGAAGGATGCAAAATGGGAAAGATTGATTTGGGAGATATAGGAGTTTATTAGATAGTTTAGGTATGGGGACTGGATCAGGGTGCTGACCATGGTAATGAAAAAGAAGAGATGAATACCAAGGATGCTGTGCAAGTAGTGAGTGTTTACAAATCGATTGGATGTAGTGGGTGAGGGAGAAGGAGACATCAAAGATGATTCTGAGGTTCCATGAATAGAAATAAAATGATGGTTCTATTAACAAGCCAGGAGTTATGATGAAGACCTCAGGGTTAGATATGCTGAGTTTGAGGTGATGGTGGAGCATGCAAGTAGAGATGTATGGAAGGCAGTTGAATATCCATAATCGGAGTTTGAAAGAGTGGAAAGAGCTATAGATTTTGGAGTCATCCTCACAAAAGTGAAGTTTAAATCTTTTGGGCATAGATAACTCTGTCACTGAGCATGAAGAGAAAAGAATATAGGGTGAAATGGCCATGAGGGGAATGGAGGCCATATAGTGGACTGAGAATGCATGTTCACCCTGGTGAGAGGAGATTCGGACTGTAGGCCATCACAGAAGTCTGGATAGTAAAGGGTTTCCAGGAGGAGAAGTGGGGGGCGGGGTGTCAGCAATGTCACTGTGGAGAGGTCATGAGAAGCAGGATTGAGAAAAATGCATTGGGCTTGCCAATTAGGTGGCCCCAGTGATTTTCAAAGGCATATTTTCAGTAGAGTGGTGCTGATAGAAACCAGACTGAGGGATTGAGGAGTGAGTGGAGAGGGAGTGCAGACAGCATGTCAGCTACTCTTTTGAGTGGTTTTGTGATAAAAGGAGAGAAGGCAGTAGCTAAAGAAGACAGCAAGATATTGAGAACTTTCCTTTTGTACATGTAGGAACCAACCATGAGAATGTTTTTAGAGAAGAGAGGTTGAATATGGAGGGCAGAAGGAGAAGAAAAAGTTATAAGAGAGATAATAAAATTGATAGAATAAGGTCTTTAAGAGAGTAAAAGGGGATAGGCTTAGGAGCCTAGATAGTTAAGTTAGACTCAATCAGGAGGTGAGATGCCTCTTCATGAAACAAGACAGATACAGATATAGGAAAAGTCAAGGTTTTTGACCCTAGCAACTAAAGTATGGACTTGCTCTTTATTGAGATAGGTATGGATGTAGGAAGAGCCAGCTTAGAGGGGATATCAGAAGTGTGATTTTTGCCATGTTAGATTTGAGATACCCATGAAACATCCAAGATGGTGGGACATATGGGTCAGGAGTCTCAGGGGGAGAGACCAGAGCTTAGAAATGTGAGAGCAGCCAATGTGCGGATGTGATGTAGAGCATTCTGCTGCATACCATCACCTAGAGGGCAAGCATAGGTGGAGCAGAGGTCCCAGGAGTGTGTCTGGAGCCTCACACATTCAGCTGTTACAGACACAGGAGGAACCAGCAGAGAAATGGATGTGAAGCAGTTTGTGAAGTATGGAGGAAAGCTAAATGGGCATCATTCCCTGGAGGGCGTCTTTCCCTGGAAGCCAGGACAGGGTGATAATGGTCACTGGGAGGCCCTGTGTATGAAGGTGGCTTGGGAGTCAGCTAGAGTGAATGAAAGGATGGCATAGCAGGTCCTCATAGTGCAACCAGGCAGGCTCACTTTAAGGACTTCTCAGTGGTGCACAGCAGCTTTGCGCAGTAGAAAATTGTAAGTGGCTCCCACCAAAGAGGATTTCTATGGTAGGTGTGACAGAAGAACAAAGGGCAGAGGGAAGCTTGGATGCTGGGAGTATGACCCTTGGGCTCAGACTGGCAGGGTCACAGCTGA